CCTTTACGCCCCGCTCCCTTCCTTCCTCACCCGCGGGACCCTACCCACTGGTGACCGCGCGCGCGGGCGGATGCAGCTTAGCTCCTCGCGTAGGACTAGGGATCCGAGCCCGACGGGTAACTGGCACCTCCTGACTCAGTCTTCCCACTGCCACCAGATTCGCACGCGTCCGGGCGGAGCGAGCGTAGGGACAAGCGCCCGACAGCGCGTGGGAAAGACTGTGGCTGTGTGGATTAGCTGGAGGACCTAGGCTTGCAGCCTCGCCGTTGCAGGCTCGGTTTCCTAATCTGTGCAACAGGCTGGCTAGCTGGAGGCACTTTGGGGAGTGGTTGAGGGTTGAAAGAACTGCGTGAATGACACCTGAAAAAGGCGCAGTAAATGTTAGTATCCTAGGGAGTCGTGGCGGTCCCCTCCTGTCCCCAAGAGTAGCTAACCGCAGCCCCCATCAACTGAGCTCACCGTCCCTGACCCCAGCCCCGGCCATGGACTCCGCGGCTGCCGCAGACCTGACCGATGCGTTGTGCGAGTTTGACGCGGTGCTGGCTGACTTCACGTCGCCCTTCCACGAGCGCCACTTCCACTACGAGGAGCACCTGGAGCATATGAAGAGGCGCAGTAGCGCCAGCGTTAGTGACAGCAGCGGCTTCAGCGACTCAGAGAGTAAGTGTGACCCCTTGCTAGGACAGTGGCCCCGTGACCTCACTGCTCAGGCTTTAGCCTCAGTTTGTTTTATCTGTAAATAGACATGAGGGGGTCAGGAAACCGAGACCTAAAGCTCCAGGAGACCTGGAAAGTTGAGTCTTCAGGACTTGTAAGCCCAGCAGAGGTGGGACCCATGAAGTAGTCCCGGAAGGCTTTTGAAGGACACGTTTACCTCTTGCCTACAGGTGTGTCATGAGCCCATGGCAGGACTCCTGGGACCTCAGCCAGGCCTTTCCACAGTTTCCTCTCATTCTTCTTCTTTCCATTTCTGACCCTTCTAAGCTATAACTTTTTAGAGTATGTGGAACAAGAGTCACCTGAATGGTGGTGGTGGTGGTGGTGGTGGGGGTTGGGGGGGACATGGGTGGACACAGTACTGAAACATTTGTGAAACCAGAGAAGATTTCATAAGCTGCTGTTCTTGGAATTTTTGAAATAACTTCTTGCCCTTTCTTCTGGCCCCGAGCTCCCAGACTGGTTGCTCCATTGTATGCAGTTTTGAAAGAATCTCTGGCACTGCAGAATTAAAGTACAAGGGTTTTAAGAGTGTCCCTCTTCCTTCAGGCGGTTGGTCACCCAGCCTGGAGGGGGAGCTAGAGAGTAATGACACGGAGGGGATTCCTGGTAATCTTTCTTACAAAGGGGTCTACCTCGGGACCTTTTTATCCTAAAAAAATCTTGTAAAGAGACAATTTTTATTTTTTTCCCCAGGAATTCAAATGCCCTGTATGATTATGGATGTCTGTTTGGATGTCAGCAGATTTGGCAACTTTTAAATATTACATGATTGTTGATTTTCAAATCCTGGATTACTTTATTGTTTTTCAAAGTGAATTTAGAATTCATCTGTTTATTCTAGATCCCTTAATCCCTAGATGGGTTGCAAGCATGAATGTCACTACCTTTGCTGCCTTTTATTCTGAGGGTAAAAGGAATGGCCTTATGATTCTCTTGTTTTGAAATCTGAAGCTTTCTCTTGTTATTGGGCAAAAGATTCATGCAAGACTTGCTGCTGAGCTATTGTCCTGAAAAGGGATGTGGATCCTTATCACCCTGGTGTCGGGGTCTGAGTCAGAAATCAGTTCCAGTTTCCTTGGCAGCCCTGCCAGAGAGTTAGAACAAGCTGTAACATTTGAGTAGAAAAGGGATTGAAGACTGTGCTCTTAATATTCCCTTAGAATTTTGGGGTTTTATTGCTAATGACCTGAATGCTCATTTTCAATGTCAAAGGGAAGTCTTCAAATTTTTGAACTTTTTCAATATCAATGGCCAGACTTAAACTTGTCTCCTTTTTATTGGGGCATGGAGCAAGTTCTTCTTCAAATACAATTCTTTTCTCCGTGGAAAAGAAAGCCGGGACAGTCTTGTCATTCCTGCTCTGTGGCAAAGAGCAGCTCCTTTAAAGCCAGAGCGTCATTCTGCTAGAATACAACCTGAGCATGTCCATTCATGGCTACTCATACTTTCCACTGGGTGGGATTTCAGATCTTTATGTGTTTTCAGGGGTCTCAGAGAATGAACTGACATACATTCTTAACAGTTTGGGGGGAGATACTTGGGATAGAACTTGTGGGTTTTTTTTTTAGGGTATATGTGTATATTTTCCTTTCTGCTTTTGTTGTTAACTGTTAACCTAACCCTTAGTTTGGTGGTTAGAGAAGTAATGGGAAGGGTCTAAAGAAGGCTCAAATGACATTCATCTTTGCTATAAATGTGTAGTTTGTTTCCCACAAGACTAGTTAGAAATAATCTTGGCAGGAGTTGTGTGTATCTAAATAGTAATTTCTTAAGGAAGCATAATATGTGTACTTTAATTGCTGCCAAGAATTGAGCACAGACATTTGTTACACTCATTTGTCTGTTTGATGTTTTTCTGTAGAAGAAAATGCAGGAGAGGTAGAGCCTATTGAAAATTAGCTCTCTGGAGGGGAACAACCAGAGTAATGAGTGTAACAGCAGCTCACTTTTGCCAAGCCCTTACTATCATTATTCTGATAATTATTTATTAGCTCTTACTATTAGTGATCTCTTTTTTTAAAAAAAACTTGCCCTCTTTAATGCTTAAAAAAACCACTAAAATGCACATATGAGACTATATCGTACAGATCAGAATCATTGGAACCATTGTCTTTCATGAAAATGTTATTTATGAAGCTATAATCAGTGTTACCTGGTTTGTCCTCTACCTTTTACAACTCTGTTTCTCAGAGGGTGCAATAAAGGTACAAAGGAGATCAGAACAGGATTCCTGTTTCTTTGAAGAGCACTACTTCTTCCACCCAAAGGAGTAAGTTACTTAGGAAAGAAGGATGGATATTGAATGAGGACTACTCTTCCTGTTCCCACTTTCAGGGAGACCTCCTAAGACATGAAGGGGGCAAAATAAGATTGCAAAATAAAAATTCACATTAGGGATGGATTCAAATGGTAGCTGGTTAAAACATGGTAGTATCTTTCCCACAGATTTGTATTCCAACATATATCACATACTTTACTGGGAACATCTTTAACTTAAGCAGTAAAAGAGCAATCTAGCTGGGAGCTAGGGCAGTGTTTTTCAAACTTGACCCTTAGAGGTGCTTTAGAAGTTGTGAATATTTTTGGTTTAAATGTATCTATCTATCTATCTATCTATCTATCTATCTATCTATCTATCTATCTATCTATCATCTATCTGTGTTGTAGTTGGACACAATACCTTTATTTTATTTATTTTTTTAATGTGGTGCTGAGGATCAAACCCAGAACCCTGCACATGCTAGGTGAGCACTCTACTGCTGAGCCACAACCCCAGCCCCCATTTAAATTTGTTTTTAAGAATATATATTTTTAGTATTTTAAAAATTATGAAAATATAATAGCATGATTTCTCCACTGTGTTTAATCAAAATTTTACTCCTTATAGTCCACATTTTAGCCAGTATGGTAATTTCTATTACCTGACTTTATAAAAAGTTTATAACATTATCCTAAACCTTAAAAGATGGTATGAATTTTTGTCCTTGAATGTTTTGGCATTTTGCCTTTTTCCTTTGCGGGGGGTGGGGTGGGTGGTGATGGTGGTGCCGGTGGAGATGTTTTGATACTTAATAGGGAGAGTCTGTGGTCTACTGTGTGTCCTCAGCTATAATGATATCATAGACCATATTTGGGAATAAGGAACTGGCTTCTTCAGCATGAGCAACGTATACCAAATCTACATATCTTTGTCTAGACTATTCTGGTCTAGCCTTAGGTGAGGGAACATTTTGGGTTCTGGGGGACCAGAATGACAGCATATCAGTTGATGTGATTTGGGAGTCACTGAGACTAGAACCTGGATTTATTGAAACCCTGAGTGGATAAAGCCAGGTAGGAAGCTCTCCGGATGTCTGGTACTGTGTTAGGAATTCTGGATGAGTGACAGATCTTACTCTGGCCAGGGTGGTGAAACTGAGTATAGGGGCTCTTTCTTATGGTATTCCACTGTAGTGAGGCTGTCAGAATCTAGATTTTGGGGAAGAGAGTCCCCACCCCCACCCCTGTCTCTGCCATTCCCTGTGGGAACAGGGAAACAGATCCAAGGCTTTCTTTTTCTGTTAATTACTATAGTTTGCTTGCTGTAAAAGTGTGGGATTGTTCTATATTTACAGGAGCTCTGGGCAAGGTTTACTGTCTGTGGTTTTACTTCCCTCTAGAGTAGCACATGTCAGTGCTAACCCTAAATTACCTCCCCCCCTCTCCCTCCCCAACTAAAAAAAAAACACGTCTACTTTTTAAACAAGTCTCTTGTTTTTGCCTGGAGTTTCTGAAGCTCTGTTGGTGTACCTAAAGTTAATTTGGTTGTATATTTAATATGCTTTTACTTCTTTTGATGCTGTCTTAGAAAACCCAACCCCAGAATTTGAGGTTCCCTGGCTTCGGTGCACTAAGAGAACCTGGCAAGGATATTTCCAATAGGGGAGTTAAGATGATTGTGAGAGAACTTCAGAGCAGATTGAAGTAGATCTTATAGGCCCTCACATATTGAGCCATAAAACCTGCCAAGTTTCCCCAAATCATCCCACTATGAGTCCATGGAGCCTCTATTAATAGCACCTCCTGATACCAGGGTGGGGCATTAATACATGAATACACTATCAGCCAGGGACACATTGCTGTCACTTTATCAGACTAACTGGCTGATGTTTTGCAAGGAATAGAGTTCTAGGGAATGGGAGTCAGGCCTTGCTTACCACAATACCTACTATGAGATTCCATTCGTTATAGGTGTGTAATAAAAGTCTGTGGGAAGAAGTTTTATTGGGTAAAGGATGAAGAGAGGTCTAGAGTTTGGGGTCCCTCTGTGTAGGGGGTTTGTTCTTGGGCCCTTCTGGAGAGAAACTTAAGAATTTTGCTACCATCTAAAAAAGAGCAGGATCCAGGGTCTAGAATATTGGTTTTCTTTTTCTTACTTATGAGGATCTTTTCTCTCTTGGGCTTGCTATTTGCCATTTTGCTAGGAACTTTATTAAAACTACAGGCATCATATACAGGGCATCTGGCCTATAACTGCCCTTTTGCATGGTCTCTGTCCTATGAGATCTTTCCATGGTGGCATGGCTTCAGGGCTCTTGGGGTTGCTTTTTTTCATGAATGGCAGGTTTAGTTTATTGCTATAGCTGCCATTTAGATGCAGGTTTGACTTAAGGATGCTGGGACTTCATTTCCTCTTGATGGTTGAAGGTCGAACATCTCAGAATGTGGAGTTAGGTCAGCCCAGATGGTGTAAGGACATGGAAAGAGAGCAGAATGGTGGTGTGGCAATGAGCCAGTGAGGCGCGACCCTGCGTGTGTGTGTGTGTGTGTGTGTGTGTGTGTGTGTGTGTGTAGTGGTGCTGGTGGTGGTGGCAGGGGCAGGGGGAGGGGAAGCCAGCGCATGCTAAGCTGGAATGCCTGTGTGTGTGTATGTTTTTGTATATAGTGATACTGTAACTAGTATTTTGTGTCTCTCCCTCCCTTGTTGCCCGTGTAGCATGAGTTCATTAACAAGAAGAGACAACTTCTGACTATTATAGGAGTTTGGCTTGTGACCGAATTTATCAGTCAAGTAAAAGTCTGGGAGTAGTTTTCTGAGTTTGAGGAATGTACTTGATGAAGGCATTTAGCACGTGGGTCAGGTTCTGAAGGAGCAAAGGCAAGTGAGGGCTGTCCTGTGAGATTATGGCTCTTCTGCTGAGTGTCCTAAGCCAGCTGGGTTAGTTGAACTTTCCCTAAATCCTCACTGATACCCTTTTTCCTCCCTCCCGTTTTCTTTCTTCCTCCCTGCCTTCCCTCCCTCCTCTTCCCTCCCCTTTTCCTCCTTCCCATTTTCTCCCCCCTCCCCCTCCCTCCCTCCCTCCCTTTCTCCCTTCCTTTCTTGCTTTTTTCCTTTTTATGATACAGGTGATTAAACTCAGGGTCTCCTTATCACTGAGCTACATCCACAGCCCTTTTTATTTTGAGACAGGGTTTCCCTAAGTTGCTGAGGCTGGCCTCAAACTTGTGATCCTCCTGTCTCAGTCTCCTGAGTCTCAGTTGGGTGCATGTACCACTGTACCCAACTTGGTTACCCATTTCCCCTACTATCCTCTTTTGCAATGTGCTTTTCCATGTTGAGATATTTTTCCTTCTACAGACACTTGCTAATGTTTGGTCTACTTGTCTGGAGAGCAAGAAAAAAAAAGTGATATTTTTCTCCTATCCTGAACATGAGTATATGAGGGTATAAAATTGCTGGAGATATTGGGCCTAACAGAGATGAAGTTTAAAGTCAGGGGAAGGTGCATACGGGGTGGAGTGAGGTGTGGTGATGAAGCTGACTCCCAAATGCCAGCTGTTCTGGGAGATAGAGACCAGAGAGGTGCCCTCTGAGCTCTGGGCCAGCAAGTCTTGGAGCTGGAACTTTGCCCAAGGACAGGCATGACTTGCTTGATGTCTTTCAGAGCCAAGGGCCTCATATACCTTCCTCTGGTGTGTGACCTGACTCTGGGACTCTCTCTAGTTTTCTTACATCATCTCCTCCCTACAAGTGTCTCAGGCTCTATCTGTGGCAGTTCCCCTGGTTATTGCACGGTCATAGACAGTGATGCTCCTCCATAGGTCCAAAGTCAGCACAACCACTTTCCTTTGTGCAAGGGACTGCTTGAGAGGTGCGCAGCTGATAAACCAAGTTGAAGGGCTTCTCAAGTCAAGTTTTGGAGAATACTCTCTGAGAAATATTAAGAGGAGGGCCACAGAAATATGTCCCTGTGTTAAGTGCACTTGGGAATAGGGCCCAAACTGGCTTCTTTATCACGAGACATTGCAGGCACGTTAAAAATGGGAATGCCAAGGGTGCTTGGTGTTTCTGTAACTTAGTTGATCATGCAACTTCTTTTCCAAGGACCAGCATTTTGAGGAGTAGGTTTGGGGGGCATATGTAGGTATAAGGTTGGGTGTTTGTATCTTGGTGTTCATCATCAAAGCCCTGAAAAATAACTGTGGTCCTATTAGGTGACCCAGGCTGGACCCCTGGAAGGAAGAAAAGATTGTGAGCACTATTCACAAGGATATTCTGGGCATGTTTAGAAAAGTGGACGAGATAGGCATATAGGCCAGAAATAAAGAGAAGATAAGATGGCACCTGGGACTGGGAGAAGGTAGGAGAAGAGGGAGCCTCATACCTGGGAAGGTGTAGCAGCCTTTTAGGGCTGAAGCTGAACTCTCTCAGAACCAGAAACCTCTTTCTGCAACCTGATTCCTTTAAACTTGGATATCCTTTTTAATGTAGTCAAGTTCATATTTTAGTTAAAGGAACCAAAAGGCAAGATGTTTTTGCCTCCCCCTGAGCTGGAGGGAACTGGCTTCAAGTGAAGGAAGCCCAAGGAGGAGTAGGAACCTGCCAGACCCTTGTTATTCAGCTGCCCTTACTCACCTGAAGAACTTTCCAGAGTTCATCTCTCCACCACCTCGGCTAGCTTTGTGTGCTCTTTTACCCAGAAAGGCTGTTCCATTGCCACCTCAGCAGCCACATCCTGCTTCCGCTGGCGGCTCTGCCTTTGAGCCCTTTGCCTTGGTGCTGCTCCCTTTCTCTTTCACCACCCCACAGCTGGGCTAGCCATGGTCTGATTTCCTCTACCTTGGTAGGACTCAGAGACTTCAGAGCAGGGAGGGTCTTTAAGGATTCTTTAGCCCACATTTCTGTTTTATTGCTGGATACACTGAGGCCCAGAGATACTGCCTTGCTCAAGGGTACTTGAGTGCTCAGTAGCTAAGCTGCTTTTGGTCCTTCTGCAGTCCAGCCCTGGCTCTGGGTCCTTGCCTTGCTGTTGTGCTAGTCTCTGGGGTTATAAGAATAGAAGGATCTATGAAATCCCTTGCATGTCTGTAGTAGGTAGCCCACCAGGAATAGAAGCCTCTTCTTCTTCTTTTTTATTGTTATAGTGCATTATAATTATACATAGTATAGAATTTGTTGTTTCATGTTTACAGATGCCCACAATATAACAACGTGATTTGGCCAATTTCACAGGAACAGAAATCTGTATCTTTGACTCTCCTTGTTTCTAGAGTGCAGAATCTTGGGGAAATCCACAACAAAGACTCTCAAGAACAGTGCGGAGGATTATTAAACCATAGGATCCACCTTTGTTTGTACCTTAGGGGGTTCCGAGAGCTGGGGGACATTTTTCATGGAAGATGATTCCTTATTTCTAACGTGTCAAACCAACCCCCACCTCTATCAGTCAAGCACTGGCTTGACCACTGGGTCTGACACCTGTTCAGTAGGCTCTTGTGTTCTGGCTGAGGTCTGGTCCTACTGATCCCTTACACTTTGGTGTGTTTGACTGGAGAAACACACACACACACACGCACGCACACACACACCTGCCCCAAATCATGAAATCATTTTAGGGTATAAATATAAGATTTCAAAATCTACCTGATTTCTTTACTAGAAATTTGCAACTTTTGGAGCTAAATGGTTGGTTATGAGTAATTAACAGACAGCTGAGTGCTATTTCTAATGATTATGTTTTCTTTTCTGGAAGGTGCAGATTCACTTTATAGGAATAGTTTCAGCTTCAGTGATGAAAAGCTGAATTCTCCAACAGAGGCCACCCCAGCTCTGCTCTCGTCCACTGTTGCTCCTCGGAAAGGTAAGCTCAGGGGATGGAGTGTGAGCTTTTCTGCTTTTAATTTTCCTCCCCTTCCCAATCCTTCTCTTTTCCTCTTGTTCCTAACCAATCTTTTCCAAATTTGAAAAACAAATAGATAAGACTAATATCAGTATGGTAGAGTGTGAACTGGAATTTGTAATTCCTCAGGGTTTTGATCTGTGTGAGGACAAGAGTAAATAATTTGGGGTAGACAACCTGCATTCATGGGGGAAAAGATGACTTGTAGATTCCAGACTGTTCTTTCTCATTGTAAACATGACTGTGCCAAGATGATAGTGCTTCTTTCTGTTCTCCTCCCAAGCTACTTGGTTCCAGAATTTAAAAATAAGCAATTTGGCTTTGCAGAAAGGATTTTTTTTTAGTGTATTAACTATTTAACCAAAGCTTTCACACGACCAATTTAGTAATTAACTTATGTCATCATTATGAGACAAGAAGTGGCCTAACATGATCCAGAATAGCAGCTCCAGCCTGTCTCTACTGTGATATTAATAGATCTAAAAAGTTTTTAAAGATGCATGAGCAGTTTCTTAATTTTGGGAATTGACAGAGTGTCTCCAACTGGAGAGCTGAATGTTCTGTTGTACTGGACCAGCGCCCTTTTGAAAACAAAAGAAGTTTTCATCTCCCCACTAAGGAAAGTTATACTTGCTGAAAATAGTTGCAGAATGTAATAAAAATGGAACATATTTTAAAAGAAATATGAAGATTCCATCATTTTTCTCAATCTGGCACTGACAGAACTTCTCTCTTTTCTGAAAGAGATATTTTTAAAATTCCCTTCTCGACACCGCAATCCTAGCAGCCACTGGGGATTCGGCCACGGTTCAGCTCTCTGTCTATAATGGATCTGTGGAATTCAGAGACAGAGCAGTCTAGAAAGTAGCTTAAACGGTGTCTAGATTTTGCTACCTGATCCTCTAGAGATAGGAATTAAAGCTGGGGAGGGGGAGCCTCTTTTGGCAAACGGACTTGAAAAGTGAAGAACAATAAGCCGGTTGTAGCCAGTGGAGGATGAATAATTAAAATACTCAGTAATGCATTTTTGGGAAAGCACCAAGGGTAAACTCCACAGAAAAAAGTAAAACATACAGAGAAAATATACATCTCAGGTTACTGAGAGATCAAAATCTAGATAAAGACCGTGACTTCTTGCTGGCACCACCATAGGACAAGGCTTCCTGGGCCCAGCTGCCTCACATCTCCTTCCCTGTGCCACTTCCAGGAGGAGCAGTGTAGTTCTTCGTTCATTTTGTGCTGGAGGGGCTCTGAGGGCTGCAGTACTGCCCTGGGGTGATAGGACAAGCAAGAATGCATCAGAAGGTGGGAGCCATAGGAATTACAGAATGTGGGGCTCCATTCCACACAGCGCCATGCTTGCTATTTTTTTTTTAAAGAGAGAGAATTTTTTTTTAATATTTATTTTTTAGTTCTTGGCGGACACCACATCTTTGTTGGTATGTGGTGCTGAGGATCGAACCTGGGCCGCACGCATGCCAGGCGAGTGTGCTACCACTTGAGCCACGTCCCCAGCCCATGCTTGCTATTTTTGACCAATAACTCAGATCCTTATCAAGCAAAAAGTCAAAATATTTTGTTTTTCCTCCTTTCCCTCCTTTTCCTCCAAACTTTTAAGACAACAAAGTGAGTTTTAGGAGGGTGCAGAGTGAGGGTGGTGGGAGAGCAGGTGATGAACTAAAAAGGACATAGTGAGGCTAGTCTTTAGCATTGGTTTCTGAGTTTACCACGAGTAAAGGTTGGAGCAGACACTCAGGACTGGTTACAGGACATGCTTCAGTAAAGTCTCTGAATATAGATGTAAAATGGAAATAATCCCTCGCATAATCCTGGAAAACCCCAATGTGGGATCATCAGCTGTCTTTGATGGGGAAACTGAACTCAATTTCTTATTTTACAGCCAAATTAGGAGACACAAAAGAGCTAGAAGACTTTATTGCTGATCTTGACAGAACATTAGCAAGTAAGTACATGTCTGGCAATAAAAAAAAAAATCAAACAGAAAACTAGCCGACCCCTTTGATAAAGTGCTGTAATGTCAACCAGCTTGCCTCGGGGCATGAGGTTACATCATAAGGCTTCTTTAGGTTTAGAAATAGGACCCTAGTGGCTTGGAAAGAAATTCTGAGGATAAGCTGGTGTTAAAGTAGACCACATTCCTTTCTAAACTGTGAGGACAGGTCCCTGGTGAACAATGGTGTTTTGTTTGGGGAAATAGAGAGTAAGCAAGACTGGAGCTTTACCTTCCTGATGGCTTGTCAGGTTCCTTAGAGAAGGAGAGCTGGTGGATCACATAAGCATTAAGCAGCACACCAGAGAGTTCCATCCCAGGGAACCCTCTGGCTAATTTTCCCAGGTTAGATCCAGGAAACTTGGTGAGATCTGACTTTGAAGACTTAGGTGCCAAAGAAAGAATTGGTTTGGGGGACCCATACCAATTACTGAATAACCTGGATTAAGGATGCAGTACTTGTTTCCCATTTTGGAATCATACTAATGGTAACCCAATTTGTGTGACCAAAGATATTGACAACTGAAGATATTAGATCATTAACTACAATGGTGGTTGTGGGCTCTAGGGGAAGAATCCTTATAGTCTATCCATATACCTTACTTAAAAAGGACAAGATTGGCCAGACTTCTTGGTGCATGCCTGTAATCCCAGCAGCTTGGGAGGCTGAGGCAGGAGGATCTCGAGTTCAAAGCCAGCCTCAGTAAAAGTGAGTTGCTAAGCAACTCAGTGAGACCCAGTCTCTAAATAAAATACAAAAGAGGGCTGGGGATGTGGCTTAGTGGTCGAGTGCCCCTGTTAACCACCCCCCCCCCCCGCCAAAAAGGGGGACAAGGTTGTAAGACTTAGGAGGATCAACTCCAGCCTCCAGGATGAAATTTGTCCCAGCTCCTCCATTTTTTGGTGAAAGGGTTAATTTTCCATAAAAAGAATTCTGTGCTGTACTAAATAACCAAGTAAAATGTGAAAAATTAGATCCTAAACTGTTTTAAAATAGCTCTGTTCTTAATACTCTTTCAGAAAGATGGAAACATCAGGTAGAAGGTCTTTGCATCATCTCTATTTACCTGTAGATTTTATTGCTCCTTTTCTTACATGCTGCTACACCCTACATCAGAAGATCTAGGCCTGTTTTGACAAGAGATTATTCTAACTGCAGCACAATTTGTATGAGACCTATGTAACAGGCCTGTCTACTTCATGGAAATTGCAGTTGGCCGCCCAGTCATTCCAGTTAATCAGACACACATTACGTGGGAAGCCTGCCATTAAGTTTGATGCTTTGATGCCTGTCTGAGACTGTGTGATGTGGTTAAGCATGGGAACATGAACTTCTGTGAGTGGCTGACCTTCTTTATATCCTGTTTACAGGTATGTGAAACGAGGAGTTCCAGGTCCTTTTATTACAAGAGAGAAGCTTCAGAAAGCTCCGAGGACTTGGCAAAATCAGCTACTAGAAAATGCTGCCAGAGGCGATAGAGATGGACACTCACCTACCACCAGGCCATTCTTAGACTCACCTTCAAATTAGCCTGTGGGCCCGTCTCTGGGCAATTTAGACAGTGAAACTGACTTTGTTGACCTGCCTGCAGCTTATTAGAACAGGTGATCTATGCTAATGTATTTTTCTCTTAAAACATAGCTTTCTTGTAATTTAAAGTGCTTTTATGAAAATATTTGTAATTAATTATATATAGTTGAAAATAGTAAAATGCTCTCCCTATTATAATATATTTTTGTATGCAAATAAAATTTGAACTGGAGTCTATATTTTATAAGCTTCCCTTCTCTTTATTTCTCTTCCTGTGTTTCCATTCAGCAATACTCTAGCAGGAACAAAAAAATCAGCACATAAGATTATATACACCACATACTGTGCTATTCTTTTTGGGGGGTGGTACCGAGGATTAAACTCCGGGGTATTCAACCATTGAGCCACATCCTCAGACCTATTTTGTGTTATATTTAGAGACAAGGTCTCACTGAGTTGCTTAGTGCCTTGCCATTGCTGAGGCTGGCTTTGAATTTGAGATCTTCCTGCCTCAGCTGAGCCGCTAGGATTATAGTTGTGTGCTGCTGCGCCCAGCAATAAATTGCACTTTCTTTAGCCTCTTTCTTCTCCTCAAGCTTCTGGGAAAGCTTTTATGTTGAATGCAAATATTTATTTCTTTTTGAAGTGAAGATATTTTTATGGTTTGGGTACGAGGTGTCCCCTAAAAGCTCCTGTTTTAATGCAGGAGTATTCAGAGGTGAAGTGCTTAGACTATGAGAGCCGTAACCTAATCTGTCCATCCTAGTTTGAATGGATTAACTGGGTAGTAACTGTTGGCAGGTGGGTCATGGCTGGAGGAGGTGGGTCACTGGAGGATGCCCTGCATCCCTTTCTCCTTCCCTCTGTGTCCTTCTGCTGCTGGTGTCCTTGCACCATGATGTTCTGCCTCACCTTGGGCCCAGAACAGGGGAGTTACTGACCATGGACTGAACCTTTGAAACTGTGAGCCCTAATAAACTTTTCCTCCTCTAAGTTGTTCTTATCAGTTGTTCTTACCATTTTGGTCACAGTGACACAGTGCTAACACAGAGATAATTCCCATTTTGTAACATGCAATTCAATGGGTTTCAGTATATTCAAAGATATTGCAAACATCACCACTATCTAAATCTCTGCCTCTATGGTTTGTATAGGCTGGAATGTTGTAGCATGAATCAGTACTTTAATCCCTTCTATGGTCAAATAATATACCCTTGTGTGGATATGCCACCTTTTGTTCATGAATCCATTGGTTAACAGACATTTGAATTAGTTCCACTTTTTGGCTAATGCATACACATATGAAAGTATTTGTATGAATGTATGTTGTCATTTCTCTTTCTTTTTGGTACTAGGGTTGAACCCAGGGACATTTAACCACTGAGCTTCATTCCCAGCCCTTTTAAAATTTTTCATTTTGAGACAGAGTCTTGCTAAGTTGTGTAGGCCCCTCACTAAATTGTTGAGGCTGGCCTTGAGCTTGTGATCATCCTGCCTCAGCCTCCTGAGTCACTGGGAATACAGGCATGCACCACCATGCCTGGCCTTGTCATTTCTCTTGAGTGTATCATTAGAAATGGAATTCCTGGGTCATGTGTTAATTGTATGTTTAACTTTTTGAGAAATTACCAAACGTTTTCAAGGCAGCTGCACATTCCCATTGGGTTGCATGCAGATTTCAACTTCTCCACATTCTCATCAACACTTGTTAATTCTCTCTTTTTGAATATAGCCATCCTAGTGAGTGTGAAGTAGTACCTCATTGTAGCTTTGTTTTGTATTTACTTTGTTTTGCATTTTTCATGACAAAAGATGTCTCTGTGTTTATTGGCCATTGTCATATCTCTTTGGAGACATATCTATTCAAATCCTTTGTCTGTTTTTAAACATTGGACTCTGTTTTTTTTTTTTATGTCAAGTTACAGGAATTTCAATGTATTCTGGATACAAGATCCTTATTGGGTATATGATTTACAGATATTTTCTTCAATTTTGAGTATTGTCTATTCACTTTTTTTTGTCCTTTGAAGTTTAAAAGTTTTATATTTTGAAGAAACCCAATTTATTTTTTCTGTTGTTTCTTGTGATATTGATGACATAGCTAAGACATTGTTGTCTAATCTAAGATCACAGAGTTACCAGTATGCTTTCTTTTAAGAATTTTACTCCTGAAAGAATAGTTTTAGCTTTTAACATTTATGTCAGTGACATACTTTGAGTTAATTTTAGTATGTGATGTAGGACAGAGGAGTCCAACTTCATTCTTTTGTGTGTGAATATCCAGTTGTCACAAAATAGCACTATTATTGAAAAGTCAATTTTTTTCCCGTTGAATTGTGTTGGTACCCTTGTGGAAAATCAATTAGCCATAAATATATAGTTTTTTTAAAAATGTATCATCAGTTTCATTCCACTGATCTACATAACTATCCTTATTGTATTACTACATAGTGTTGATTATTATAGCTTTATAGTAAGTTTGAAATTCAAATGTGTGAATTGTATCCTTCTTTTGGCTGGTATGGGTCCCTTGCATTCCTTTAAATTTTAGTATTACCTTGTTAATTTCTGCAAAAAAAAAAAGGCAGATGAGAGTTTTGTAGATCGTGTTGAATCTATAGATTGCTCTGGGGAAAGTTGACCTCTTAATGACATTAGTCTTCTTGGCAGTTTTTAAACACAAAATATCTTTAAATTTATTTTCTTTAATTTCTTTTGATCCTATTTTGTAGTTTTCACAGTACAAATTTTGCCTGCCTTTCACTAAATTTCTTTATAAGTATTTTATTCATTTTGATGCTATTGTAAATAGAATGTTTTTCTTATTTTATTTCTGGGTTTTCATTGCTAGCATATCAAAATACCATTGATTTTTGATATTGATCTTGTGTCTTGAAACCTTGCTGTACTTGTTAATCATATTTAATAGTTTATGTGTGTGTGTAATTCTGTATTACTTGCAAATAGAAATGTTTTACTTCTTCTCGCATATGCTGAATGCTAACCTCTTGTTTAGAACTTCCAGTATAATGTTGAAAAGAAATGGTGAGAGGACACCATTCTCATTTTGTCCCTGGTCTAAGAGAATAAGCTTTCTTTCAGTCTTTTTCATTAAGTATAATATTAGTTGTGGGATCTTTTAAAAAAAATCAAATGAACCCTTGAGTTGTTTTCTAAGCTTGATTTTTCTATTACCTGGATCTGGCACTTGTTCATGCATCAGAGCCTTGATTCACTTTGGATATATATATATATATATTTTTTTTTTCAATCAGGACACAAGTGGCTATTATTTTCACTGTAACTTTTATTACTGGCCTCTTTTGGAACTGAAGATCTAACTTCATTTGGCAGCTCTTTCTGTATGGGCTCCTGGGATCTGGATTCCCAAAGTTAGAAATGTAGTGTGTGAAGTTTTATAAGGAAAGGAAATGGATTCTTTTTATAAGTGTGTGGGAAGGGCAGTTTGTGCTCCATAAACCCCTGTTGGATAATGACTTAGGGACAAGTGGGCTGTGGACTGAGTCACAGCTTGGGGTTCTGGGAATGCCAAAAAAAAAAAATGTGTTTTAGAGTTTCTCAAGATGTGTTTCAAGGATTATAACCCTAACCTGTTTAGAAAAATAAGGATTAAGTTATTAAGGTATTAAGGTCATATACTTGAAAATGCTGTCTGCTACATATTCCACATAGAGATTTATTATGCATATTATTGTATAAGTTACTTAGGAGTCAGTCTAAGTTGCTGGATCAGAGAACCAAACAGGGTGGCTTGAAAAAGAGGGAAGTTTCTTTCTCCTTAGCATTCCCGAAATGAGTGGTACAGTGCTGGGAGGGTGGCTTTCTTATCCAAAGTGACTGCTCCTGATCTGATCACATTTACAGCCCAGCAATCAGAAAGGAGGAAAATCAAGTCAAGCTCAGGCCTGTTTCTTTCAACGATATGAATAGAAGGCACAGTCACTTCTGCTCACTTCCCTGTGTTCAAGTCTTGATCAAATGGTCATTCCAAGCTGTGGGGGAGGCTGGGGAGGAGTTTCAGCTGAGCAGTTATTTGCTTAGCTAAAATTCGAGAATTCCATTATTTAAGAAAGATGAAGAGAATGGGTATTGGAGGGCATCTAGTCATCTTTTCCGTGGCACATTGAAACTTCGAAGTGTCCTGCAGCTAAGAGACCTAGCTTTTGTCTTTCCTTCCTTCCTTCTTTTCCTTCCTTCCTTCCTTCCTTCCTTCCTTCCTTCCTTCCTTCCTTCCTTCCTTCCTTCCTTCCTTCCTTCC